TTAATTATGTCTTCTCTTGATTCCTCCACTTAGCAATATGCTCAAAATATCCTTGTACTACCGGTACTTGACTGTTACAAAAAATATGTTTGATTAAACATAGAGCTGACATCAGTCTTTAAAGAATTAGGCTATGCCTACTAAGTTAGATCTGACTCCAGTACTTTTCAAAGTTCTACTTTACCACAACTCATTATGCCCCCTCACCACCTCTGTTTCATTCATCTTATGACAGTTCGCTGAATAGCTGATCAAACTTATTTGAATGGTCTGTGCTCAACCTTTATTTATAATTAATAGCCTCAATAATATTTTGTTATGTTTGTATTGTTTTAATGAAGAATTATCTTTCATTGCAACAGATCTCCTTTCTCCCTAAACAATTAATACAAACTTTGCTCAAGTATTCAGAATTACAAAGTGTATACATGAATGAAGCTGTAATCCATTAGCAATGAATACATCTATTTATTGCGTATTGTACTATCAAGTTTAGTATTTTATACCGGTACCATGAAATCAAGAAATTTACATTGCAAGATTTAATGTTTCTTGAGTGCTTAAAATTAACTAGCCCTCTCCCAGGAAAAAGCACTTTGAACCAGAAGGCATATAGTTAGCTAGACTAACATGGAAATGACTCATATATGAAAAACACAGGTACATTTTAAGGGATTATACCACTATATTTAATTTTTGTTCTTGTGTCTTAGTAGGTTTTCATTTAGTTAAGATTGTCACATGGATTCATTGGAAAAATGCAAAGTTTACAGATTTAATTTCTAAGAACAACTGATATATTGTCATACCGGTATATATGTTTTGATCCAATGGGACACACAGATCTGTGCACCAAGAGAACATGGTATCACATGAATCAAACATTTATTGAGAAAATAAAATATTTTCTTGTCACTTTGTTTGATATTGACATTTTGTTGTTCTACCATAATAGCGAACTGTTTACCTATATTTCTTATTATTAGTTGGTTACATACAGTATAGTACTCGTCAGTCTTGTTTCAGGATTGCCACACTCAGGGTTTAGTACACACTCCATATAAAACAAAACAATAATACTTGGTTTTGTAAACTCACCTATTTCACTTGATGATTTGGTTCCAGGTTATATGTTTATTTTACTATGAACCCCTGCCATTTGTTTTCTCACTTATCGGTATAATAATATAATGGATCCCATCCGTCTGTTTTCTTGATATGTAGAACAATGTATAATGATATAAATTGAAATACTCCCCATACATAAGCTTGAATAGAACCAGCCTTTAAATTTGAGTATCACTTCTCTCTCCCTTCCCCAGCAAATCTTTTCTAACAAAAAGTCAAATTGGTTACATCCATTTGTGCCAGATTCAATTACCAATATCATTCCCCCACACACACTCTACCCCTTAGAACAGTGATGCCCAGCCCTATTTGACCTGTGGGCCATTTTAATTTCCGACATTTGTGCCGCAGGCCACATCACCAAAATATAAAAGAAAAAAAATAACATTGATGTTTATTACAAACCTGTGACTCTAGTACCGTACTTACAGTAATTAAGAAGTTTAACCAACTTCTTCTCATCTGATTACAGAAATGAGACGACAAGCTTGTGCATCCTTTGTGATGGTTGAAATTTCATTAAACAAGTTTTTACCAGTGAGGGTTTATTTCATGTTCATAAAGGGTACTAACTTCTCTATGATTTCAAATTTGCTGTTAGTGTAGTGAATAAATATCAAGAGTTTGATAAGTATCAGATTTGTCAGTTTTTATCATTATCACAATCCATCAAAGAAATTGTGAAAGCCCTGAGGAAGGGAAAAATTTTATTTTTTTTTTGGGGCGCGTAATTTACATTTTGGGATGATGTTTCAGCGGGCCAGATGGAATCATGGCGGGCCGTAGTTTGGGCATCACCGCCTTAGAAAATAGTCCTATATACAAGTCTTAGTCGACTTCTTTTATCAAAATATTTGAAAGGCTCTGATACTTTTAAACACCATCAATTTTTTAATGTGTTAAAAATCATCTTATAATTAATATTTAAATGGAATTTTACAAGCGTGGGGAGGTGAATTTGGATCAGTAATCATATCTGAGATGAACTGTGCAGTGGTTTCCAGTTCAAGCAGTTCTCCATATAGTTTTTGTTCTATAAGGTTTTGGGGCTCTTGGTATAGTATGCAGCTTTGAAGGACATGGTCAGCATTCTCTGGTGATGCTCCACAGGGCAGGTTTTGCTTGTCCCAACTTTAAGCTTCTATTATTATTGTCTTTTTTTAATGTACTAATGAATCTGCTTAATTCAAAGTGGTAGGAAACAGGGGATGGCTTTGAATTAATCATGTAATAATTTAACTTAATTACCTTTTAAAAACAGTAATATTTCAGATTCTACAAAATTATGGGTATTTTCCTTTAACAGTTTGACTAACACAGGTATTAGTAATACGCACTTCTCAGCAATAGCTTTCTTTTTAAACATCATTCTATCTTGTTAAAATTGTTTGTAAATATGGTACTGATACTGGCAAGACAAAGAGCATTGTACTTTCAAGATGGTGAATTATCATTTTCCTCTCAAAACTAGAATAGTATTTAATTCTCAGTATAAAGTAAACAAAAGCAAATGAACTTGTTTCAATTATTTACTCTACAGACGACCTGACAAGGGAAGATTTAAGTATTTTTTGTATCTTGCCAGGTATTTTGTGTGGAAGTTGTTATAGAATACAGTACCACCACTGTATCCTACTTGTATTAAGATTAGAACAACTATCTTTAAAAAAGTCACTTGCTAACTATAAATTGATATTAAATGGAACATTTAACTGCTGTTTATACCAGGAAAAAATTGTGGGATGTTGATTTTTGATATTTACAATTTAAGTATTTTTTGTATCTTGCCAGGTATTTTGTGTGGAAGTTGTTATAGAATACAGTACCACCACTGTATCCTACTTGTATTAAGATTAGAACAACTATCTTTAAAAAAGTCACTTGCTAACTATAAATTGATATTAAATGGAACATTTAACTGCTGTTTATACCAGGAAAAAATTGTGGGATGTTGATTTTTGATATTTACTATGAATGAAATGTAATTGAAAATGAAACTAACAAATAGCAATACAAAGACAGCTTAATTTTTTAATGATATTTTATTTCTGGAATCATCTGGTTGCCATTGCTAAAAAAATATTTCAATACAAAGTTTGTTAAAATAAACAAAAGCTGAACTAATATGAAAGTATGACAGGAAAATAAAATGCAGTTATGTTTAAATGAAATGGTGAATAGAAACAGAGGATTAAATCTGAATGAAATAATGGCACTCCATAGACTGTTCCAACTGAAGAATGAAATTGCCAAATAGCAATTACTAGATAACAGCCAACAGAAAAGAAATGAACAAAATACATGGAACAACATACACTAAAAATAAAACACTTGTACCAGATGTTATGGGCAAGTGCTAGTAAATGCTTTACCTTTAAGTTTTAGAAAACAATTGGTTCTGATCAGTGATTTAAAAAAAAATTACAGCACAGCTGATTAAATGAAGAGTAACAGCAAAAAGAATTAGTTACCTTTCAACTCCCAAGTATAGAGAAACTGCATCTAAAGATTATTACAGTAAAATGTTCACAATTTCATGAGTAAAAAAATGATCTCCAAATGCAGCGCTTACTTGGTTAATTAGAAGGTACATTCTTTCAGCTGACCAACATGAATCCTATAAAAGCATACAACAAAGTTTATTCAGTCCTTGCTACCACTCCTAGATCTGGATGCCCTGTCTTCATCTCCTCCGTCTCCTGCTCCACAATCTTCTCTATTGGATGTGTTCACTGTCTCGGGGGGTGGTTGATCATTGTGATTGTCCTGTGGCAACCTGGGACTTTTAGATCTACTCTTTGACTTAGAACCAGATTTAGACCGAGCAGGAGATCTAGATCGAGACCTAAATTGGGAAGAAAAAATACAAACATTATGCACTAAAAAAATATTTAAAAAAAAAGATTTATGTGATTTCTTTGACTTGACTTTACTCACCTTGATTTGCTTCCAGAACCACTTTTCTTTCTGTCTCTTGAACCACTTTCCTTCCTGTCTGGAGAGCCACTCCTTGATTTGGCAGAACCACTTTGTGATCTACTTCTCTTTCTCTCGCCAGATCTACTTCTACTTCTCTTACGGTCCCTGGATTTGCTACGCCTTCTGCGATCACGAGACCTACTCCTGCTTTTGCGCTTCCTATCATTAGATCTTGAACGTGACCTTTGACAAGATAATGTTAGAAATTAAAACACAGAAAACCAAATACTTTATAACTTAGCTATTTCAAACAAGTTTATTGTGTTTTGAATTAAGTATATATAATATATAAATCTACATTATCTTTACTATTGTTAAGATTCAAAAATGCCTTTCTTTAATTTCTTTGATGTAAAGTACTAACAAGTAAGCATTTGTTAAATATATTCTTACTTATCAGGTAAGGACGACAGCTAATATAACTCAAAACTAACTACCAAAATATTTTAAAAATTACAAAATAACAACAAAAAAAAATAATAATAATAATTTAAAAAGCAAAATAAAAAGACAAAGCAAATGAAACAACTCAAGTTTGCTTGTCTAACCTGTACCTCCTCCTGGGAGATGGTGATCTCCAACGTCCACCACCTCCTCCACCACCTCCACCACCACCTCCTCCGCCGCCTCCTCTACGACCCCACCTCAGCTCTGGACAATCTCGAGCCCAATGTCCTGTCCGTCTACAGCGAAAGCATTCATCATAGCTCTGTGATGAATTGTTGTCATTCCTTTTCTGTAAAGGACCAAAAAATAGTTTACAAAAAATCATGAGACAAAGAATAAGTAGGAAGAACTTAAATCTAGTACACAACTCCATAAATTGGCTATGGCTAATAACATCACTTCTTACCATTCTTCTATCTTTTCCTCCTTTAGCCCATTCCACAATGATACTCTGACCATTAAGCTCTCTGCCATGTTCATATTTTACACAATCCTGGAAAATGTATACAACCAAGTAAATTAATTTGAGCACAAAAATTATAATTATAAAAACAAAGGCAAAAAAACTAACACTAACTACTAGTTAAATTTTTATAAAGCCACTTTCAATTAATCTTTTTAACAATACATATAATCTATAAAGAAAATATAAAAGTGCATAGATTCATTGACCAAGAGAAAGAAATAGAAAAGTTTTCTGAATTGTTTAGAAGAAAATGCAGATTGCTGGAATTTTAAGGTCATATTTTATCTACAAAAATTGTCGTTGAAGCTACAGATCTAAATGAAATGAAACAAATAGAAATCTGCATGTTCTGCTGTTTTTTTTAAAAGTAGCACAAGGTCTGAACCAGACAAATAAAAACCATAATCACATTTAATAAAAAATATAAAGACAAACATACTGGTGGGAAAAGGCTGCACTGGGCTCAAGTTCACAGCCCAGCCCCACAGAACAAAGCAAAGGTCAAGGTCACTTAGGCTAGCTATGGTTTACGGACCACCAAAGGCTTGAATGGCAAGGTTTTGGTTTCATCAGATATGGCTGGCTACACAAGGCTAGAGGGAAAAACTCTGAGATGCCAAGCGAGTTGCAGTTCTCAGTCAACTACTTTCCTCAGACAGTGAGGGTGCTGATGTCGTGATAGGAAACATGGCATCACCACAAGTTAGGGTGACAGTAACAACAGGTTGACTCTCACGTGTTGCAGTGGTCTTTGGTGAAGAGTTTAATACATTCACATGTCCTTACATTAACTCATCATCCTAGTGTAAGTTACTGTTTAAAACTGTTATTCATTATTAAAGATGAGTTTAAATCAATGATCAAATTAAAAAAAAAGAAACTAAAAGAAAAAAAAAAAGATGTCTTTAAAAATTGCTTTTGAATTTGAAAAAAAATTGTAACTTTAAAATTGAATTATTTCTTTTTTTTTAAAAACAAATCTGTACAGAAACATATCTAGCTGTTGAAAGTGTCAAAAATAATTAAAATCTGTCGCCTGTCACAGCATGCAGAATGTTAGTTCATCAAGGAAGCACTTGAAGTGTGACTGACTGGCACAGACTCTTACAGAGGCAGATGAGGCTTAGGCTAGGCTGCTGTGGCAAGGACTTAGACCACTCTCAACTCTGTTCCCCCTAACACTGGTATGGAAAGGAAGGGATCCTGCCTTGAACAGTAGTGTTGGCTAGGAAAGGCTTAACTCAACAGAGCGTAGCTTATGAGGGCAAATGGCTGGACTGCTTGACCAGATGAAAAAAAAACACACAACGGATAGGTCAGTAATAGTAATCATAATAATCTTGTCATTTTTCAACTCATTAAAAGAACAACTTTATAATTGTTTATGTTACTCTAAAGTTTTAATGTACTAATGATCTTGAAATGCAACATTGGTAAAATAAATTGCTCTTTAAACTTCATAATCTATGCTGTCAACTTCAATAACAAGCTTAAATATTTTTAACCTGTAGTCAATAATTCTGAACACAAAAAGCTATAAATAAAAAAAATATAGCTTCTGTGAGAAAAATATGTTGTAGCTCTTGGACTACTGAAAAGGTACAAGTACTTTACCAATAAAAATATTCTTTTTTTTTTAAATTTTAGTGTAGTATTATCACTTTTTACATGATTATATATTCTACTTCCATTACACCTACCTCAGCATCACGTCTGTCTTCAAAGTCAATAAAAGCATATGCTGAAAAAATTAGGATGAATATTTGTTTAGCATTATTTATTTGTTCGAATTCTGCCACAAGATAATGTTATCATGTATTTATATTTAAAATAATAACTTTAAAAAAAAAAAAACATGTCTCTCTTTCCAAAACTGAAATGAAGACACACAATGGAAAAAATATCCCTAGTTACAACTAAAAGTATACACACAGCAACACATACATTGATGGTCTGCTCTACAAGCTACAATTAATGCGGGCTCTCTCTGAGTCCTCCTGAGCTTCACTGTACTAGGTTGGGAGTACAATATTAATACAAAACTCCTGAGAAAAACACACCAGCAGGTATAACTATCACTATCTGCCTTCAAGTGATGAATATAAGCCACCATTTTCAACAATGTTCACACTTAAGCAATTATCAAAGCATTATTATGATGGAGCACCAACATATGTCAGGTACTGCACACAGAAGACAATGCTCAGAGACAAATTAGGAGATGTAGAAAAAAGACCAATTATTCAGACCAGTATCAACTTATTACCCACATAGTAAGTGCTATTCAGATATTTTTAATGCATCTCAGGTAAAGCCCTATTACTGCACCAGCAAAGGTGAGACCTGAGACCTATGGTCTATGCTGCAAGTTTTTTTTTCTTTGTAGTAGACTACTAGTAATAGTATAGTTTAGGAGCTTACAGCTCAGAAAGCTAGGTAGAGCAATCATTCAATGGCTACTTTATACAAATCAATGATTTTAATTTTCAGTGTGACATTAAGTAATATACATTGAAAGTCTTTAGATCTAATTGTTTTACCATCCGTTAGTTTTTAAGTTTAGAACTCACCCATCTCAGTTCCTGGGGAGAAAAAAAATTCATTGTTTTAGTAATTATATCACTGTTATACTGTTAATAATAATAATTGTATAATGAAATGTGAAAAGTGAGAAAAATAGAATCTAGATTTACTAGAAAGCAAAAAAAAAATTTTAAAAATGGATTTTTAAAAACTTGTTAATGGTGAAATTACTAGATCTACTTTCTAAGGCTAAGCACTTGGGGTTAAGGTAAACTTGTAATTAAAATTAAATACATAATCTAGAGTAACGTGCAAAGCTCGAACAGCACCAATTTGTATAGAGAGGTTCAATCAATTCACTTTTTATTGCTAAAACTTTTTTATTTGAATGTTTACATAATTATTACTATATTGCTACTGCGCATGCACCTTTTTTCCTCACTCGAACAGCACCAATTTGTATAGAGGCTCAATCGATTCACTTTTTATTGCTAAAACTTTTTATTTGAATGTTTACATAATTACTACTATATTGCTACTGCGCATGCACCTTTTTTCTTCACTTGCGACACATACTATTTCCTTTTCCTCGTAAAGGCTAAGTTCATGATGAGGTCAAACTCAAGCAGTGTAATTTATTCTTATTTCTACCCGGTAGTGAAGGAAATTGTCATGGGCTTACGCCTATTTATAAGTCTGATGGCTCATTAGTTCAAAGAAACTATTTGAAGTTGTGGAGCGTGGGAAAGGTGGCAATGGATGATGTACTTGCACTAGAGTAAAAAGAAAATGCCTTCATAGTGAAAATTAAAGATTAAAACATGTTTTAGAAATATTTTCTTTGATCTGATCGAGCCTTCCATCAGCCCGATCGAGCTTACTAACTAATGGAGAAATCCAATCAAGGAATAGTACGCTTGGCGTTACCCACCCTACATCTCTTTGACCTCGTATTTAATTTTAACTAAGCCTAGTGATACATTAAATCATATCTATTTTTATAAACAAAAGGACGAGGAATTCAGAGATACCATCAGTTTTTTCATAGGTCAGACTGTTACAGTTCTATAAAAATCCAAACGTGAAAATTGCTGCCAGCAGGATTAATGCGATCAGGCTTCACACTTTACTCTAGATCTAAAAGGTTCCACTGAGGAAGGCTGTATATGCTTATGTTATGATGTTTCTTTTACAAGCCCGACTGCCTGTACTCAACCATCCAAATTAATTTTTAAAAAAAAACACTAAGATCTAGACTAGTAGACTGGATTTTAAATTATATAGACTTAGATTTTAGATCAACTAAATCTAATCTAGATTATCTAGAATCTAGTAGGCTTATCTAGGATCAAAATCAATCTAGATTATAGGGAGGTGAAATTCTGGAAGTTCCTATGTCCAAAAATGATGTAAAATCTTGAGACAGCGTTTTCCTTACCGCTACATAGGTCTTTGTTTGAAATCAATTATGCTCAGTATATGTAAGGATATCATTTCTAAAAGAGTGAATTCGATTACTTTTAATGATGGAGAACATTTTTGTCTTTAACAATTTTTTTAGAATAAAAATTATTTAAATATTTTGCATTGAAAGTATATACATTTTTATTTTTGCTGATACTCATCACAGGTAAGTTATGCCATGTTGATTTTTTTCATGCTAATAGTACATATGTCTGGCTATATACCTACCAATTTTCAGATCGATCTATCGTCAACATTGACCTCAATGGACTTTTCAATTTTTGGGTGTTTTTTTTTAACAGAAGATATTGTTTGTCACCAACAAGTGAAATTATAATTTTGTAGAAGATATTATTAGCTACAGATCTAGATACTTTTTAAAAAGTTTTTAACTTGCAATTTTTTGAAAACGTATTTGAAAAAAAATTGTTTCAGGCGATTTTGATCCCAATTTTTAAATATTTTGTTATTTTCTACCATCATAACACCGCCATTTTGTCCACACTTCTTGTAGATCTAGACCCAATAACTTGTTTATTTCATTAATATTTACATTTTAAATAAGTGAAGTTCATATATATATAAATATTATAAATGAAAGATTTGTGAGCTAGAAATTTACTACGAATTCTCGATCTATTAAATTTTTATTTAATAAGTAGATCTATTGTCTACGAAACTCAATTCCAAATTTTAACTTTTGACCTGGGGCTGTGTCTCACCAGCGACAAGCTATCTCCTCACTTGTTCCATGTCAACCAATGTTAGGTCAAAACGCCACAAATCATACAAAAATCATAACTGTTAAACATAGTCATAATTTATACACCATTAGAAAATTCTTTTTAAAGTATTTTAATGATGTACAAACGACCATGAATTTTTTTTTCACCTCCCTATAAGATCTAGAATTGTCTTGAATTAATTATTATGGTGAACAATTCAATTGTCACAAGAAACCTTCAAGATGCCTGTCATCTGATCACAAATTAGACTAAATCTAAAATTTAAGTAAGTATTGTTTAAGTTTTAATATAAACCAAAATAACCAGCAACAACACATTTTCATGTCAGCCATTTTGTTTTTTTTTCCTTTCGGGTCTTACTCTTAGGCGGTGACATCATGATAAGTCGTCTTTATGATCAAAAACAAAAAATTAGTAGACAAAGCATTTATATTTAATATCATACATACCATATTTGATATCGCAACGTAAAAGTCGTCCATATGGTTCAAATATTTCCTCTAAATCTCTAGTTCTTGTGCTTTTAGACAAACGCCCAACGTAAATTGCTCCGTCTCGCCGCGACATCTTTGACGGAAAGGAAGTGACGATTTACAACCCCAACGTTATGCCAGACTTTACTACATTTTATGCTGATAAAGGATAGGATCTTTAGAAAGCAAATATGAAATGCCAATCGACATTCTAAAAAATATGATTTATTATATTAAAATTATAAATATAAGTTTAGAATCA